TTCCTCTTCAGCTCAAAGACTGCTGTGTCAAAGTATTGATTGCCTAGGTTTCTATCGGTAGGCTTTCTTTCGAGACGTACCCCGGTACGGGAAAAATCAGCCGCGAAAGATGTTGGTGAATAGAAGTGAGCTAAAGCAAAGTAGGCAATCTCCGCATGCTGAACCCGCACAGCGTGCTTATTTGTCTCGAGTTCAGTCCTTGCACAAAGCGCTCCAAGAATTTTTGGACCCTGGCTCGCGATGACTTGAAAAGTCTTGCATCGATAAGCTCAGGTTCTTTTTTTTTTCTTCTGTGTTTAGCTTGTGCCTCGCCTGCCGGCCTGGCAAGCACGGGCCGCTGGACTGTTTTGTTTTTTTTTTTAATTTTTTTTTGTCGTATGTTGGACAGTTACATTTTGCATACAATTTTGAAAATTAGTTGGAGACGAAGCGGAATGGCATGGTTTCGATCGAACAGCCATCTCCGCTCGCGCGACAATTTCGCATTGCACGGCAGTAGTTACGTGTTTCACCAGTTGGAGACTGTTCCCATTTATTATATTACTAGTCAACCTAACGATGTGATATTTAGTACTAAGCTGGTCATTTTCAAATAAATTTAAATATCTGCAGTTTGGTCCGATACATTTATGTCATTTAACTGAAGCATTGCAAAATGTGTCATGTCATTAGCATTTCAGTTACATGTTAAAAGACTCCCAGGTGGCCTATCTCGACAATAATTGGTTGATTGCGGCGAGCAATGTGTCCTTCGGTTGTCCACCACTTGAAATGAATATCTTCTTTTTTTCCCTAAGAATATCTGCTCCAAAAGCCACTTCTGCTGCTCCGAAACACTGTTTTAGCTGCTCCAAAAGCCAGTTTTGCTGCTCCAAAACTCTGTTTTGGCTGCTCCAGAAGGTGCTCCAAAACGGCTCAGGCCAATCACATCACTGCGAGTGCCATACTTCCCTCCATCCTACGAGGGATCTTTAAATAATTAAATGCGCCGAAAAAGACAAGGACAAAGAAGTGGAACGACACAAGGCGCACTGTCAACGCTAACGCCACTGGAGGAACAAAACGACACCTCTCCGTTTTTTTCGATACATTTCCTAACCGCACAAAAGAGTGGCTCATGCGGTACAGAATAAAAAAGATCTTCAGCATCCACCGAAAAGGCACTTTGAAATCCCCGCGCTCCTTCCTCCAGAAATTCAATAACGCTCTCAGAGTTTCGCAGCAAAAAAGGATCGTACAGCTTTAATGTTGACAAGTGCTTGCTGAGGAAGCCAGACAAGTGTACCTGCCAGGAGCCCCTTTCAGTTACAATCGCTCTAAAAGGGTTCCAAATTTTGCGCGTTTTGGCAGAAAAGAAAATGTTCAGATGTAAACCGGTGGCATATTGCACGCTCCTTTGCAACCCGGCAAATTCAAATCACCACAAAGCTTCTTTGCGTGGGCCTTAACCTTAGACAAAGAACCCGGGCTCACTTTTTTGAAGTTCTTGAGGATTGCTTGCTGTGACCTTTCAGCAAACATGTCCCGCGTCACAACCACAAAGCCACCTTCCTTATCGGAAGTTAGCAGCTTCAGGTCGTTGTCCTTGAAGTAGTCGATGATGTGCATGTTATTCCATCCTTTCATCGATTGACCTGGCAGGCGCCGAAGAACATCGACGCCGTCCGCGACGCACCTTTCCTTGTCCTCAGGGGTGGTTTTTTCCGCCATCCCTCTCACCAGGGACAGCTTGGCAACAGGACGCAGTTTGGGTTCTCTGCAGAACTTTGGACCTTTTTGCAAGGCTGCCTCGGTGTTCGATGGCTTGACCGCACCTCCGAGAAGAGACACCTGTGGTTGTCGTATGTTGCCGCGTTTTTGGGCTCTTGGTATCGACGCTCTTGCCTGCTGCCACAAAACTTCAGTGTACTCTGCTGCTGTCCGCAGGTGACCCTTGTAGGCCCACCCGCTGCCTGCGTCGCAACACCCCCGTAGTAGCAACGGATCTTCAGGCAGTCACTGTATCTTTTTACCTGTTTCCAAGATTCAGAGCGTAGGATTCGGCATATTCTTTTGGCGTGGCCGATGGACGGCTGTATCCCATGAAATAACGCAATAACGTCCTCTGGGAAGCATCCACGTCGAATGGCATACGTATAGATCCTAGCCCGGCAGCGTGACACAGCAATTAGGTTGATTATGGGATACACCGACTGATGATGGGTGGGGGAACAAATAAAAGAGCTCGTTGTAAAAGAAATAAATTGCAGCGAAGTGGAAAGTTGAGCCAGTTGGTTCATGGTTCTTTAAATAATTAAAGGTCAATCGATGAAAGGATGGGATAACATGCACATCATCGACTACTTCAAGGACAACGACCTGAAGCTGCTAACTTCCCATAAGGAAGGTGGCTTTGTGGTTGTGACGCGAGACATGTTTGCTGAAAGGTCACAACAAGCAATCCTCAAGAACTTCAAAAAAGTGAGCCCGGGTTCCTTGTCTAAGGTTAAGGCCCGCGCAAAGGAGCTTTGTGGTGATTTGCACTTGGCCGGGTTGCAAAAAAGCGTGCAATCTGCCACCGGTCTACATCTGAACATTTTCTTTTCTGCCAAAACGCACAAAATTGGGAACCCTTTTAGAGCGATTGTAACGGAAAGGGGCTCCTGGCAGGTACACTTGTCTAGCTTCCTCAGCAAGCACTTGTCAACAATGAAGCTGTACGATCCTCTTTTGGTGCGAAACTCTGAGAGCGTTATTGAATTTCTGGAGGTAGGAGCGCGGGGATTTCAAAGTGCCTTTTCGGTGGATGCTGAAGATCTTTTTTATTCTGTACCGCATGAGCCACTCTTTTGTGCGGTTAGGAAATGTATCGAAAAAAAACGAAGAAGCGACGTTTTGTTCCTCCAGTGGCGTTAGCGTTGATAGTGCGCCTTGTGTCGTTCCACTTCTTTGTCCTTGTCTTTTTCGGCGCTTTTAATTATTTAAAGAACCATGAACCAACTGGCTCAACTTTCCACTTTGCTGCAATTTATTCCTACGAGGGAGCCGAGGCGGTGGCTTTGCGCAGCAGGAGCACCGGGGGGAGCAGAGATGCGTTCCGATAAGATATCAAAACTTAAAACCCCTCCAAACTGTTTTTTTAGAACGTTGTGAAGTGCTGTTTTTGCTTTATAGACGCTTTACACACGCGCCAAGTTACAGCCGCCATTGCTGACCTCCTCTTGTCTAACCGAGGTGCCGAGCAACTGAAACGGTAGTTGCCGATCCTCTACAAAGGCCGATGCTTTAGAAAAGGATCCAATTGAATATAATGTGGCAATAACCTGGCCTGCTATGGTAATGATGAAATTCAATAAAAGAAATAAGAGGAAACAAAAACTGAAGGTCAGTTATGGCGGCGCCCATGCACAGCTGCTGCAAAGCGTCTATATCTTTCCAAAAAGAATCGATATAGTAGTTTTCAATGAGGCTTTGCAAGTTTTTAATTAAAGTTGTCTGTTTATTTTCACTAAGTAAAAAGGTAATTAGAACATTTTAGTTCATTATCTTGCTAATCAGCATATTTTTGTAATCTTTCATGTCCGCCGACGCCGGTTGTTTGTTCCTGTAAGAAGTTTCTTTTTATCGTAAACAGCATGCTTGATCGAATGAAGCCGCCAAAAGACACATTTTTTGACGGAGTCGGGGTTTGAACACCTGGTTTTTCAGTAGCGGTTAGTTGTCACAGCCCCCCCCCCCCCCCCCCAAAAAAAAAAAATCGAGAGAGAGTTTTCCGGGTGTGACGTTGGTAAAGGTTGGGCCACTGACCGAGGGATAGGTCCACGTTTTGGTAGACAGTCTAACCAATGGAGAGAGACAGAGACGTAGGGCGAGGATGGGAAGAAACTGATTTAGTTGAAAGCAGAAGGCAAATTAAGACACATACACTCTTGACAAATTGATTCTGCAATATTGGGTAGAACGTTTTTAAAAACAGGGTCTACAAGTCTAGGTTTACGGAGGCTTATACAGTCACTAATGAAAATTTTACGACTAACCGAATCAAAAGATGATAATTCAAGAAGTAACAGCGAGTGCGGAAAGTCTCATCTGACGAGTCAATAGTTGACGACTCTCAAGGTGGAGGAGTTCCGGCCGTCGGCTGGCTTACTATGGGCGGGGCCCCCTGGCCTCGCACCCACTTCTTCAGCTGACACGCTCACACACAGCCGTACTCCGTCTTGTACTTGGCGAGAGACCATTGACAGTGGTCTCGTCGCCCCGCTCGACGACGCGATGCGTCCATTCGCCTTCGAGTCTCTTCTCGCACTGCCCTTTGTTCCTCGCACTCAAACCCTGGTTCCCACACCAAGCCCGGAAATTCCCCTCTCCCAGACGGTCATTGCCCTGCGGATCTTCCCTTTGGCCCTGAAAGCAGTCTGCCCTCTAAACCCAAACATTCCCTGCTGTTTAAAGTAGCACAACTCCGCTAGGGTCAAAGACCTCATGTTATATTCTTGTGTTTGGTTTTGTTTTGGGGCTGAGATGCGAGACAGCGTCTTTCGCAGTATTTATGCCTGTGGCCGCCATAGACGCGGTCGTCTGCGGCCCATGACTTCGGGAGTAACCCGAGCCTCCGGCAAGGCAGCCAAGAACCGGGGGCCACACGCGTTTTCCCACTGAGCCCGGGAGGGGAAGGTGAGGAGAAGGGAGCTACCGAGCGAAGGGTCCAAAAACACCGCACGCGTCGGAGAATTCGAAGATGGGGGAAGACTCCGGAAAGCCAGGCGACCGCTCACGTCGACAGAGTCTCTGTCTCCGACCTCCGCATACTATCACTGCCGTTTTGTGTGACATTAGCACGCCCGACCCGTAGTGGTTAGCACAAATACGGCTCCGCCAAAAATCTTGTCTTTCGGCGGCTTCGTAAACTTCGATCCATTCGATCGAGTACGGTTCATTAATCTGCATTTTTTTGGTTATTTCCTCTTTGCAGAAAGTTCCCGCGATATATTTTGTTGTACTTTTTTTTTTATTTACAGGTTGTGGAGCGCCTTCTGAAAAAATTGGCTGGCTATGAGGCCACCGCCCTGAAACCAGCGAACCTACCCGATGACCCACGATCGAACCCAGGCTTGCATAATAACGTCTGGGTTGCATGGAACGATGTTTCAGGGCCCAACTTGACAAGATGATACTCTTCTTTTATTATTTACCAATTGGCCATATTCAAGTCTAGGGATGATGATGTGAGTATCAGGCACCTATGATGCTGCAGCCATCGGGAGACACGAAGGCTAAGAGAACAAAGGAAGGTGACCAACCTGGCTTTTACGGGCGTTCTCGAGAAAGGGAACTATGCTTTTGTCTGCGGCATAAATGCTGTAGTAATTGGCTCAAGCAATAGTGATGTGGACTAGGCACGAAATGTTTCGAAGTTAATTACAGAAGTGTAAATTTCAAGTTCGTTCATTCAATCTTTCATTCCAACAAGGAACTTGCTGAGCGTCTCTGAAGACCAATAAATCAGCCGTAGAAACACGTGGAGCGCACGAGAAGCGCGGTGCGGCTCTGAAGTTAGCATTCGTGCAGCAGGCGCAAGGCAGGCGGTCCGAAAACGCATCCCCGCTCCTTGTGTCGTCTCTCATCAACCGCGTTTCCGCACAGCCAGTCTTGCACCAGTAATACGAGCGGTAACTTCCAAACATTCCTCGTGGGAGCCGCATGTGCTGCCTATTCGGCAAGAGAGAAAATAAACATCTTTAATATGAGAAAGCGGTGGGGAGGAGTCCTTAGTCCAAGGCACCTTGAGCTTTTCCTGCTTCCGAAGCCCTCGACACGAGCATGAGCTCGTCATCGAGGTTCGAGCTGGTCAGTGCCCTCTCCCAAAGCTCGTATGAAAACTTGGAGAGATTAGACGATTGCGAGGGGTTTTAATCGCTTTTCCCTACCATATGAAAGAGGGTCCCAGGGGCTCCATAAAAGCGGCATAGCGGGGAATAGAAAGTGAGGAAAAACATGTGGCATTTAGTCGGATGGGGGAAGGTGTTAGTCTGTAGGGCATGGTGATGCCGTTCGTACCCTTTCGATAGTTGTTCATGCGCGGGTGGGTAGGTACGTTGCTGCATCCAATAGTGCTGCGTGATCTCTTGATATGTTACCTATGGGACCGGCCACTCCTTCTCGTCTCCAGGGCCCGGCGGGATAACTCTCGGGCCAAGAAGCAGGCGGTTGCATTGCCTGGTACAGCGGAGTGGGCGAGTGTTCATATGATAGTGATGAGTCTATCCGGTGGGTCTTGGGAGATGATCTGTTCTGATGTACGGTAGATTCTTCCTCTCAAGAAATTACGGCACGCGTGCTGCAAGCTGGGGCTGTAGTTTGTGCCCTATTCGGCGAAGTGAGCTTTCAACGCAGATCTGTCTATTGACTGGATTATATATGCCGAAAATTGTCAAGCTCAAGTGACAAGAAAAAGTGTTACACACAGGCCAAAGTAATGTAAAGAATAATAAGTCAATAGCGCGCAATGCACATGCACCCAAAGACCTAAAGTGAAGTCATACTTAGTCATATAAAACCATACGCTATTATCATTAGATGCAATTAATTGCAACAAGCAAGATTCACCACGCGGCTCAGCGAGAGTTGAACCCCGAACCGTGCGGTGCTTAGCCTGATGCATTTTCTCGGCGCCATAAGGAGACGAAAGGGGACGCAAGCTTCAGAACCAAGTATGACTCAAGGGAGCCTGCGTTAGCAGGTGACCATCGGCGCGCGCAGTGGCTTCCGACTGAAGAAGTGTGGCTCACGTGACGGGAATGACGAAGGCCGAAGATCTCACTAGAGCACGCACTCTGGGAGAAACGAGTGTATATATATTCCTCCATAAAGGTGGAAACGGTCTTGTAACCTACGTTCCATCAGAAAGGGAGGAAAAGCCGTCCTTGAAAGCAGGAGAGAAAAGTTTCTCCCTCGTCTGCATCTTATTATGCTGGCCTCGAATCGAGCGAATCAAGCTCAGTAAGCCTTTGCGAGGACGCTACTTCTATTTTCGGTCTTTACACGCCAACGCTGCCTCGAATCAACCGAAAATAGTTGCCACACTTTTCGAATAGGCAGATACCTGGCGGTCCTCCAGTGTCTGCAAGCAGCTATCGCAAGAAAACGGTAAGCAGCTCCGCAACTATCTAAACAAGTCACCGCTTTCGGGGCGAGAGCAGCAGCAAATAAAAACATACCACGAGCATTTCACGAACTGTATTTATCGCCGATGCCAGCTTCCGGCGCAGGTAAGAAAACTCGCGTTTCGAGCGCGGTCACTCAGTCGCTCAGTTTTATCGTCGTCCACACTGCGATGTTAAATGACAGTGTACTAGATTACAGGGTAGTGTTGAGACCTGAGCGGCTCGCGTATGGCATGTGGTGTAGATCGCGATAGGTGTCGACACCGGCAGTAGGGTCAGTATGGTGGTGGTTGTGCCCGTGCACCGCGTGCACGAGCACGCGCGGCTGCACGTGCGGGCTGCAGCAACTTTCCATGCTGCCCTGTCGACTGCAGCGCCGCGATTGTTGTCTACAGGCGCAGACTCACAAACTCACATTGCCGAGCCGCGCCGGTCCAAACACTACCCCGTATTCTAGTACACTGCAGTTAAATGTAGGCAACCAAAACCCGCACATTTCGCGCACTTCACGCCTTACCTTTTCTATTCCTCGTGCCGAAATTATTTCGTCAGGACCGCACGTCACGGAGGAGTGGTAAATCATTCGATCGCAAAACCAAAAGCAGCTTTCAAGAGATCTAACTCGATGCAGCCTACGTCGCAGGTTTTTGCACAGTAACAAGTAAATGCATATCGCGAAGCGTGAAAAAAAATGTTAAATGGCTTGCCACCAGATGGCAGGGTCAATCAGAGGTATTCCCGTTTTCGGGAATACCTCGGGGTGACACTAACTAGTTCAGCAGATTATCTGGCAGAACACCACCAGAACCTCAACACGTCGGCACTGAGAAAGCGCAATGTGCTTCGTCGAAAGAGCCTGTGGAGCTGCGACCGTTATTTAATAATTCCAAAAATGTGGAAAGCTGTCGCTGTACCAGGCCTCACTTTCGTCAGTGCTGTTACATGTGTCCCCAGCGAGATTAGGGAATACATTGAGCGACTGCAAAGGGAGATCGGGCGCCAGGCGATGGGATGTCACGGGAGAGTGCCTAATCAACATGTCCAAGGGGACCTAGGCTGGTCCTCATTTGAGGCACGGGAGGCCAGCAGTAAGCTGGAGTATTACGCCCGACTGTGACATCCCTTAAAAAAAAGTGTTCTTTTTTGTGGGAAGTCTGCTGAAAAAAGTCAACACAGGTATTAAATGTCAACAGCTTTCCATCATATTTTCTGTAGATTGTATTTAGCCTTTGACTTGACTTCCAGGAGCCGTTTGGCCCAAAGTTTATTAGAAAGACAGTAGACTTCTTGGCGCCTAGATGTCAACTTTTTGTTTCCACTGAAAAGCTAAACCTTTAGCATAAGACAACCTTGTGACTCCAAGGCGACTCATTGGCGCCAGACCACTTGTAGCCTCTGTGTCGCCAGAGCCTACAGCTTTTCTTGCAACTACCTTGCGACTTTCGAGGCTGGGCCTCGAAGGTCGCAAGGTAGTCACAAAAAAAAAACCAATATTTTTTTTATATTATGTTAGTATGTTACTAAATCAGTACATGTTAGTAATATGTGTGGAAATTATTTATTTATTTATTTCATAATACTATCAGTCCCTACATGGGACTATGATAGGGAAGAAGTCACCACCCAGAATTTTATATTTTATATTATAAATCTTTGAAGGCGCAACTACATATATTTTACAACTACATATCAGAAACGAACACAAGCACCATGAAACAGGGAACACCTGAGTCACACTCCCATTGACTGCTCCAGAGCCTTATATAGCCTATATATTGAAGGTAATCATTTGGCCGGTGACCACCTTAGCACTTATTAAGGTTCCAAGTTTTTAATGTTCTCCTCGGGAGTCTGTCAAAGGCAAAACAGTGTTTCGAAGGTCGTGGACAATATCTATTACTAAAACGCACTGGTACAACTAATATTAATTCGGCGCAGTCGCTAAAACAACATTCACAAAACGGTTCCTAGAAAAAATATCGCTTCCCTACATAGCGCGACTCAGGACGAAGCGACTCAAGGCAGTTTATCCCCTTTCAAATAGTTATTTTAATTTTCTTTACTAGTCGACTATTTAATGCGGTCATTAAAGTCCCTATAATCACAACGTCATAACGGCAGGGCATGCCTTTCGAATGCCTGGCCTCCAGGACGCATCCCATACCTTCCTTCGTGCTTTGACTGCACGCGCGCGCTCAAGGTGCATGAACGCCGAAGCGTTGTCAAGGGTAGTAGGTTCGCGCTGGATGCGGAACGACTGAAGTTGCTTCCCGTTCTCACCTTGTCAGAAACTACTGAGAAACATAGCGACTTTTGGCATCTAGTCGGGGTCTACTATGTTCAACAAAAAGTCAACAGAAAGTCTGTAGCTTTTCTATTGGCATTAGCTACCGAGAGCCAACTGAGAATTTTCAACACAAAGTAAACAGAACGTTTGCAGTCAACTTGATGACACTGTCAACAGAAAGTCAGAAGAAAAAAATCAACATAAAGTTAATAGAAAGTCAATAGCTTTTCTTTTGACTCAGGCTGAAGAAAGTCATCAAAAAAAGTTTCAGCAGAAATTCAACAAACATTTTGTTGACCATGTCAACAGAAAGTCAGCAGAAAAAAAGTCAACATAAAGTTAATAGAAAGTCAACAGATTTTCTTTTGACTCGGGCTGAAGAAAATCACCAGAAAAGTTGCAACACAAAGTCAACAAACTTTCTGTTGCCATGGTCAACATAAAGTCAAAGTCAAAAAGGTAATCAGAGTCAGCAAGAAGTCTACCCGTTTTCAATAAAAAGTAAAAAATCATTTTTATAGGGGATATGGGCGGAGATCGCTGGGCACGAAGAGTTTTTATATACATTAATTTAAAGAGCCTACTCACGACATGGAGGCGGCGTACCAATCGACTCGGGACAAAGGGCGGCGCCTTTTCGATGAGCAACGAGCCTTCTACAAACAAAGATTGGGTTGCGGAGGTGAGAGGACAGATAAACACCGCCGAGACGAATCGGTGG